TGTTTTCATGGTAATCCTGTGAAGGGAGATATTCTCATCTGTACCTTTCAGATGATAAAATCTGAGACAAAGAAATTGCCTAATGTCCCCAAGCAAAAACCAAATCCCTTATAAAATGTTAACATCCTACTGACTTCAAAGCTTTTCTTAATCCACAATTTACCATTGGTGTTAAGATCTTAGGGACTGCCAACTGTACCTTCACACACATGACCTTAAGATAATAACCATACTCTGCCTTCTCATTCTGAACATCTGAAAGAAATTATGTTTCTCTTTTGGCACTGCATTGATATTCTACTGCATTATAGTTATTTATATCAGTCTTTTATGTTTCTTATTGCACCATAACCTTCTTAAGAGTGATATTCATTTCTTGTCTTTCTTATATCTCATTGCAAGAAGTAAAAATAGAAAAAAAGAACACTTTGCCCATATTGGGCACTCAATAAATATGTAAATAAATGCATGAATAAATAAAAAAGAAAGAAAAGGAGGAAAGAAAAGGCAAAAGGAAAAAAAGGAAAAAGTAACATAACTGAATCAAGGGACCGCTTTGAGTCTCATTAAAGTATTCTTTTAGAAGCAAATAAATAACCAACCACCAGAAATTGTTCACCGCCTGCATCAGTCCAACACATTGACTCTCAACAGCCGCCTCTGACCTTAGCAGTTTAATAACATGATTTAAAACAACATTCAGTCAAAGGGGCACATTGTGCTGCACAAAAAATCAATTGAGACCTTTAACTACAGGCACCCTGGCAAAAGAAACCCATTAAAGCATGTAAGCAGAAAAAAGTTTACTTACAAAGCAAAATACGTTGGACTCAAATTTATAGTGTTCTACAAGAAAAAGATGACCAAAAAATGTTCCATGTGGCTAAGTTACCACTTGACTTATCTAGGTAAATATTCAGCATAGCACTGTCTCTGCTAATGAACAGCATACCAGAAACAAGCCTTATTAACCAGTATCCGCTATGCATGCTGGTTAGTGGTGTGTTGGAGTCCATATTTCTACACTGTGCTTGCCACGGGTCTTGACTGAGGCCTGGACGAGGAGTCAGTTCTGAGAAGATTAGCCCACTCTGTAGAGAAATGCCTCTAGTCCACGTTGCCTGTTTATGATATGTTCCCTATTTCCCTGCAACATTTCCTCATTCTAGTGTTGTACAAGTTTTCAAGTTTGAGAAATCCTATCAAGAAGACTATCTCTGTGCACAGTATGTGCACAAGACCCTAGGTTACATCCAGCACCACCAAAAGATAGCAACGGTGCGGGGGCTGTCTCTGGCCAGATCTGACTGACTCACCCCATCTGCTCTGTGCTCAGACGTCAGCCTTGTTAAGACTGTGTGCAAAAAAGAGCTAAGAGCAGGGTGAATGCTGCCCTCTGAAAGTCTTCCTGACAAGGTCAGCCTCTGGATGGAACCTAGATTTCAGGAGGATTCCCAACAGTCAGAACTTGTACAAGCGGTTCACGTTGAACACCACTTTCCTTCTGAGAGACTTCCTTGTTTGAAGAATTAAGCTTGTGAAAGCTTGTGCCTAGCCTCTCTAGGACTTTGCCCCATGTGTCTTTTCCCTTTCCTTCTTGGTTTAGTATCCTTTAGCTCTAATAAACCTGAATCATGTGACTATGTGCTGAGTCATCTACCTGAATTCCAGTGAATACTAATCTGCAGGTGGGCTTGAGGACCCTGAGACAACCTAGAACAGCAGTATATGGGACAGCACTAGGCCTCAGGTAGAGTGGACTGAATCTGCTAAATCATTATTTGGGATAATGTGTTCAATCATTCTCTAGCAGGGGCTCCTCCTATTTGGAGATCTAATTGTAAATGGCTCCACCACGATATGTTTCAGGTCACCCCAATAAACAACCCTCTCTACAAGAGATGCAATGGACTTCACTTTCAGTCACTCATGCCTGATAGCACACAGCTCTGCCAGCACCAAGTTTACTATGAATAGTGCACTGAGTCCCAACAGCCAGGATCAGAAGTTCTACCTTTTCTATTTTTCAAAAAACACTTTAAGATATTCAAGAGCTCAAAATACACTGCCCATGTATTTTTATTAAAAAGTTATTCAAGGGGCTGGGGTTGTGGCTCAGAGGTAGAGCGCTTGCCTAGCATGTCTGAGGCACTGAGTTCAATCCTCAGCACCACATAAAAATAAATAAATAAATATAAAAGTATTCTGTCCATCTACAACTAAAAAAAAAATTTTTTTAAAAGTTATAAGACATATTCAAGATTGAGAAAATTGCATATAAAATTTTAATGCAATGAACGTTAAAAGTCATTAACTATAGTATTATAATTATAAAATGTAATGACTACAGGTCAAAATTTGTCTTAGCCAGGCACAGTGACACATGCATGTAAACCCAGCAGCTTGGGAGGCTAAGATAGGAAGATCCTAAGTTTGAAGTTAGTCTCAGCAACTTAACAGGGTCCTATGCAATTTAACGAGACCCTTCCCAAATTAAAATATAAAAAAGGGCTGGGGATGTGGCTAGTGGTTAAGCACTCCTGGGTTCGAACTCAGGTACCATAAATAAATACATAAATAAATAAACAGGTCTTGGAAAGGAAACATCATGAAAAAAGTAATATCTTGATTAAAAAACAAACAAACAAAAAAAACAAACCTGGTCCTAAAACTGCAAACTATATAAGACTGAGAAGTGAGAGTAATAAAATATTTGTCTTACATGAGGAAGACTAACAGAATAGTATCTGATATTTAAACACAGGCTGAAGATTTTTTTCTTTTTTGGCAGTACTGGGGATTGAGCACCAGGAATTGAACCCAGAGGGAGTTAACCACATCCCTAGCCCTTTTATTTATTATTATTACTACCATTATTATTTTGAGACAGTTGCTTAGGGTCTCACTGAGACTGGCTTTGACTCATAATCCTCCTGCCTCTGCCTCCTGAGTCACTGGGATTACAGGCATGTGCCACTGCACCCAGCTGAAGAATGTTTTTGAGAAATAAAAAGCAAACCATTAGTAAATTTAAAAAGCAGAATAAATGAAATGTTGAAAAAAGTCTAAATACAGACCATTCAGCAAGAATAAAGGAAACATCATTTTATTGAAGTGAAAATATTCACTACCTTATGTTAAGTAGGGGTAAAAAGTAGTATACAAAACTGAACCTATAGGATGATCCCATTTTTATAAACTATTGGAAAAAAATCAATAGGTAGTCAAATTATGGGATTGGGACTTTTCTATGCTTCTACTTTCCAATTTCTAAAATGAAAACTCTAGTCCTAAGTATCTGACCACAGGGAATGACATAAATATTAACTCAGCAAATTTTGAAAAAAGATAACAAATGTTATATATTATCATGACAAACCTTTGAAAATTTGTAATCCTGGAGGAGAGAGAACTGAAAACATTCTCTGAAATCATGCAGTTTGAATTACTGATACCTCCAGATAGCACTTTACACCTATATACCATATAACACTCCAAACTGTTGTCAGATAACCATCTCATGAGGTTTTAAACCAACATAGTGAAAAGAAATTTTTAAGACTCAGAACCTAATCAAGGAAATAGACATAAACAAATAGCAGAACCAGGGCCAGTGTTCCCGAGTGCATGCTGAATTAAGCACTCATCAAAGACTGAGAACCAGAAAAGATCTTAGCAGTCTAGGTTCCAATTTCCAGGTCATCTTTACAGGCTCATAAGAAAGAAATTTCTTTCTATGAATTTCTATTTAGAAATAATGGAAAATTCCTGTTCTTACTGGCAAAAATGTAAAGATGTAGAGATCACCGCATCAAATCAGAAGATTTGTAAAATAGAGACGGTGTAAAAATCGGGATGTCAAAAAGGGATTGTGAGATCCCTGTAAAACAGGGATGGTGCCTGACCCATTTCCTTTGGTGCTCCTAATCCTTCAATAGTCTCTAAGATAATAGGAAGTTGACAGCATTTATTGTGCAAAATCCCTGCAAAGCTGTTGTCGGTCTGTAAATAAGCTGCTTCTTTCTGCTCATTGCTCAGCCAGCACACAACTTCCAAGTTAAGGGCCGGCTGTTCATGACTATGGCACGACTGCCATCTGGTGGCAAGCAACCTTAGCTACATGTCCCATCCAGAAGTCGGTTTCTCCAGGAAAGAGGAATTAGTGGACTTCACAGAAGGTAAATGTCTAAAGCAGGGTAGGGCGCTGCGGCCAAGACTCCAAAGAAGAGTAACTCCAACTAACAAGGTCTGGGACACACTCGTTAGCCTCGCACCCCCACCCCAAGGGCTGACTGCCTGTGTTTGACGTTCTAACCCTTTTCTTTTCTTTTTCTGGGTCCAGTTCATCTTCGACAGTTGGATTTCACAGCCTGGAGAGACCCTGGGGCCCACTTCCTCTCTTTAACCTGGGGAAACTGAGGGCCTGGGAAGTGAAGGAACCAGCCGGAGTCCCGGGACGTCCTGCCTCCCTCTCCAACGCACTGCGTGCGTTCAGGTCCGAGGGTGAAGACCCGCCTCTCTCTAGCCGACCGGCCGCTAACTTTCGGCACAGGCAGGGCTGAGCCATCTCTACGGCCGACCGGGCGAGCTGAGCCCTGTTTCCCGGCCAGGACCCCGACCTCGGTCGTCCCCGCCCCACTGAGCGCCGGCCGGCACCTTCCCCCTGGCGCCGGGCTCGGGCCTCCACGTCTGACACTCACGCTCCGCCAGCATCGACATGTTGGGTGCAGCGCGCGGGCCTCCAGACTTGGGCGACTGCTGAACCTGGCGGCCGCGAGTCCACAGGCTGGAAGCGCGGGACCAGCACGCCAGCAGATGGCAGCGGCGGGGCGCGTGCTGGTGATGTCAGCAGCGCGCGACTCTCCCCGACCCAGGGCGGCGGGGCGGGGGAGGGGCCACCAGTACGGGGCGGGGCCATCGCGGAAGGGAGGGGCGCCAGGGCGGCGGGGCGGGGCGAGAGGCGCGGCCGCCCGCGGACTGGAGCGCGCGGAGTCGCGGACCCGCCGTCTGCCCGCACGCAGCTCGGTCTCGGGAGAGGGAGCTCTGTGAACACCGCCCTTAGGGTCGTGTTCTGTGAACGCTGAGCACCAGGAGTTGAGGGAAGACGCGGCCCCGCAGAGTCCGCCCCTCCACGTCCCACCTGTGCTCCCCGGGAGAGGTAGCCGGGAAGACGAGGGAGGGCCGGGTGGGAGCGAGCGGGCGTCTCCACCGTCTGCCAGTGGGTCCCAAGTTGAGCAGATTACTACCTCGGGGGAAACGTTCGTGTCCCGTAAAGTGACACCTCAACAAGGCCAAGGTTTTAGTTTCTTTTCTCCACTACAGCACACGCCTTGGAGCTTCGCCTTTGTCCCATCCGCGTCTGCATCCATACCAGCGCTGAGCAGAACAATTCGAATATTGGCAGGGGCTTCGTGGATGGTCACAAAAGTGGATTCGTGTCTGTGTCCAGGAGTAAGCGATTAGAACTTCGGGCAGACAGTCAGGAAGTGGTTTTGGACAGGTGACTCTTCTGGGGATTTCAGGACAGTGCGGAAGGAAGCCTTCCCCAGGTGCCAGGAGACCCTGTGTGAAGCTTGTCTACATGAAACTCAGCTTTTAACTAGGATTCTAGACACCCAAAGTAAACTTCTCTAGCTTCACAAATGTTAGAAGAAACGCCAAAGAATATTTACAGCTTCATTGAGTACCCAGGAAGTGAGAGAGAAGACAGGGTGCATGGATTTTCACAGCCAAGTGAGGAGGCAGGTATCTTGTGAGGTGGAGGACAAGGTGCAAGTAGGCATTGAGACTTAGGAAGACAGGATCACGAAAGCCTTAGGATAATTAAGAGATCGTTTTAATTATAGGAAAGTACTTCTCCCCTCTGTGCTGCTATTCTTCATCTGTAAAATATGAAAAATAATGCCCACCATGTGCACTTGCTGCAGTCATGAAGTGCTGCGTCTCAAGTGCTAGCAATGGCATCTCCCACCTAGTAAGCACCCGATAGGTATAATATTAAGTAAAATGGAAATTAGGGTGATTATTTCAACAAATATTTATTGTTTCAGACATATGCTAACAGCTAGAGTTACAGAGACAGACAGAAACAAACATTCCTGGCCACTACCCTCATTGAGTTTGCTTTTGAGCAGGGAAGGTGGACGTGAATCAAATAACTACATACATGGGAGTAGAACTGTAAGTTTAATAAATGATACAAAGGAGAGTCACAGGATAGAAAAGAATATAGATAGACAAAAATTAGGACTCATATGAATCAGAGCCATGGGCCGTGATGATGTGTGCATACAGAAAGAGAGCATGTTACAGAAGCTCAGAGTGGGAAGGCACTCCCCAGCCAAGACCAGTGTGAAGAGAAAGCTCTGTGTGCATCCTGGTCCAGGGATGCCTTCTGGCTTCCTAGCAGCAATTTTTGCCTGAGGTTCCTCCTCTGTTCCTGTCAAAATTTTATGACATTAAGCTGTAAGGCATCACTAAAGGGCCCTGAAAATCCTCAAAGCTCAACCATCAAGACTCATGCCCAGAGATCCATATTAACATTATGATGTCAACAGAGAAATCCAGTTCCCTTATTGTCTTAAAGCTTTTGTTTACTGTCCTAACTTAGCCTCCCTTAACCTTTCATGGGATAGTGGCAATTTAGTTTCTTATATCCTAAGGTATATTCAGGGGCAGCTGGTGGGAGAGGGGAAGATGGTGGGGATGGGGACAGAGATGCTGCAAAGGAAAAGAGCAGAAGCAGGTGAAGGGCCAATGAGGACAGTAGAAATGGGTGGTAACTGATTGAGTTACACACTTTAAGTTTCAAGGCCTGTGCTGCTGGCAGAACCCCTGACCTGAGTGAGAAAGCATCATGTCAGGCAAGGAGGAGTGGACACTGGAGTCACCTGACGAAGTTGCCGGGCCGGGCCTCACTGTGGACTCCCCTGAGCCCCTCTGTTAGCCTTCTCTCCTGCGTCTGCTGCTTGCTGGGTAAGCATTCCACAGCCTGTGGAGCTCTGCTGCTGTGGTCTGTCCTCCCACAGTGGATTTCCTTAGTGTGGTAATTGACACATGAGCTACCAAGCTAAGTGTTCAGATCTTGCTGTGACACCTATGGCTGTATCACCTCTGGTCTGCTGTTCCAGGGCATTGCTGTAAGGATTCCCAGAGACAACTCATCCATGCCTTTAGAGCACTCTAATGGTGCATGTGGCCACTGCTTGGGACCTAATCCCCTCCACTCCTATTATCCACGTCGCACATCCATCTTCCTCTGCTACCTACCAACTCTTGATCCTAGGAACGTTACTAAATTTCCTCTGTCTTGTTTTCATCCACATGATAAATGGTACCTGCCTCAAAGTTATATACATGCTATAGATTGAATGTTTGTGACCTTTCCCAAATTTGTCAGTTAAAACCCAACCCCAATATGAGGGTATTTGGAGGTAATTAAGTCATAGGGTAGTGCCTCCATGAGGAATTAGTGCCCTTATAAAAGAAACCTCAGAGAGCTCCCCCTGCTACTGCCATGTGAGGATGCAGCAAGAAGCTGGCTATGTGAACCAGGAAGTGGGCCCTCGCCAGACACAGGATCAGCCAGCACCTTGATCTTAGATTTCCCTGCCTCCAGCACTGTAATACATTTCTGATGTTTATAAGATTGTTCATCCAGTCTAGGGCATTTTGTTATAGCAACTCACACTGACCAAGACAAGACACACACATTGCTGGCTGAATGAAGAGATATGTATGTTTAGGACAGTGCTTGGCATGGAGAAAGCCTCAGAGGATGGCTTTCCTGTATCTGAGTGCACACAGTTCTGTGTTGTTTACCTGTTCACCAGGGCCACTCTCTTGATCTGTCCACTGTTGATTTCAGTAGAATAATAGATGAGAGAAAGTCTTGAGGGTTATATTTAGATGTAGATAGAATTCTTCAGAATCATAACACTGTTAAGTCACTAGCTGGGGGATTTTGTTGATTGACAGGGTGGTAAGGAAGAGTCTGTGATTTTGGAGAACAATTACAGAACACTAGGGACTACTTTAAGGAAATACCAATAAGTAACATAGGATATTTATGATTTATAGGGTTAGTTTATTTATAGCCCCTTTTAAAAAACTTTATCATGAGAAATATTGTTAAGTAAATAAAACTTTGAAAAACTGTAGGTACCCCATTTTTTAAAAGGAGGCATGTATAATAATCTTCACATACATACAAATAGAGTTAGTATATGCATACCAGTTTGCATGGAAAAGATACCATGTGGAGATACCATTCTAGACTGTTAATACTGGTCTTTTCAGCAGAGAAAGGAATTTTTACAACATGCATTTCTATATTGTCAGAACTTTTAATTAATAACAATACCTGCTTCTTTACTATGTCAGAATAATTTAAATATATTTATTTTACCTATTAATATGTGAAAATGTGTGGTCCCTTGGAAAGTGTGATCTGCCTCTGGGATGGACAGATGTAGTGTCTTGCCTGGAAAGTTAACTCCCTCTTATCCACGCAATCTGAGGCATGCTGGAAAGCGGTCCCAGACTCCAGTGACAGCAGCTTGTCAACATTTTCAAAATATGCAAATGCAGACCCATGGGAAATGGTATCTCCAAGGGTATCTTTTCCATACAAACTGGTATGCATATACTAACTCTATTTGTATGTATGTGAAGATTATTATACATGCCTCCTTTTAAAAAATGGGGTACCTAAAAAAAACATACAGTTTTGCTCCCAAGGGCAGGACCGCCTTAACTCTCTGTATGACCTGCAGATGTCGCGTTGCTGGCTCATGGAAGGTGTTCCCAGTTGCGTGCCCTCACCTGCCTCACCAGCCTTTGTCTGCCCAGCACCTTCCATGCGTGATCTGCCTTTCCTGTGTCCTCCCCACTTTCCCTTTCTATAGTTTCTCCTCTAGGCATGGCCAAGCTCTTACCGGCTCTCCTCAGGGCCCTGTCAGGGTCATGATTTCAGCCACCCTGGCCTCCATATGTCACCCAGGAGGGCTTCTGCCTCTGGACCTCAGCTTGCTCCACCCTTTGTGGTTGTGGGCCTGCCTCAGCACTGCCCAGGCCCTTGCGACCTCAGGGCTGCTCTTCCTAGCATCCTGTTCCAAGGCTGGCATCTCCACCCTTAACTGAACCCAACAGGGTTCTGTGTAGACCCCACTATAGCCAGAGAGTCCCTTTTGGCTTCTAGGAGGGGGCATGCTGGGAGGGTGAAGCCAGGGGTCTGATGAGTTGACTCGCAGCAGTGGGGACCAAGTACAGGTCTGGGCCCGACAGCCCTGGGAACCAGGCACTGTTCCACTGTGCCACTCACCAGGCAAAGAGGTGGACTGGCCTCTCTGAGATGTCACTTCCCGGCCTATAAGACAGAGAGGCTGGTGGCTTCTGTCCCAGAGAACTGTGTGCTTGACTGAGCTGGTAAATGTCAAAGAAGAGGGAGCAGGCACAACAGTGTGCCTGGGAGTTGGGGTTACCCCAGCCACCTGAACTGAACCTCAGCACAGGAGGCCCTGGGCAAGCATGTCCTCAGCTGTGCCTGTCCAGAGCTGAAACGAGTGCAGGCAGTGAGGGGAACAAAGGGGCTTCCAGGTGGCCTCACAAGTCCTCCCTGGATGCTCGTTACAGAACAAAGATCCCAAGAGTCTCAGTGTGAACTTCTGCTCACGTCATGTGAAAATGTTGTGATGTTAAAATCTCAACTCCTGGTCTCAGCAGAACTCCTGACCAATTCCCAGGAGGACTACACCACCTGCCTGTCACTCTTAGTGCTGGCTGACGGTCCAGACCCCCCTGTGCAGCCTGAACTTGACTGGGCTAGGGGACGCCATTTGGTGCTGCTCCCAGGGAGAAAGACTTGCTGCCTTGTTGGCACCGAGCTGCTGGGTCAAGGTGCCTGTTCTTATTGCAAAGAAGAAGTAAAGCCATCGCACCCAAAAACAAAATGATTCAGGAAGAGAGAGAAGGGGGCACTGAGGAAGGAAAGGCTCAGCTTCTGCTTTTCTTGACGTCAGAAGAAGGTGTCCAAACAGGCCTTCTCTGGGGTGCTTGATTAGATGACTGGGCTAGGGGCTTCCTGAGAATAGTGTGTGTGTGTGTGTGTGTGTGTGTGTGCGCGTGTGTGTGTGTGAGTGTGTGTGTGTGAGTGAGAGAGAGAGAGCGAGAATAAGTCAAACATGACAGCGGTTCATCCAGGAATCCGTCACAGTCCTCCCTCCCCAACTCCAACTGGTGGGGACAAGGAAGTCCAAGCTGCACTTTATGTGTCACAGAGACAAGAAGCCTGCCATCTGCCAAATGCTCATGTCCCCTTCTAAATTTATGCACTGACATCCTAAACCCAGGTTGATGGTATTAGGAGTTGGGGCCTTGGGAGAGGAGGGGAGGAGGCATGAGAGTGGAGCCCTTGTGAAAGCAGCCTCTCTGTCTTATAGGCCGGGAAGTGACATCTCAGAGAGGCCAGTCCACCTCTTTGCCTGGTGAGTGGTACAGTGGAACAGTGCCTGGTTCCCAGGGCTGTCTCTCTCTGCTCCACCATGGGACGACACAGCAGCATCTCTGTCCCTGAACCAGGAAGCCCTCACCAGAACCCACATCTGGCAGCAATTTGATCTTGGACTCCCAAGTCCCCAGAACTGTGAGAAATAAATTCCTGTTTATAACACACACAGTCAAGGGTATTTTGTGGAGGCGTCCAGACTGGCCAAGACCAGGGACATTTGGCTCAGGGCAAGAATCAGAAATTCTAGGCCCTTACTCCCTAAGAGCCAAGGTTCACAGGAGGGCCTTCTAGAACTGCCTTTGATGGAAACATTTAGTGAATGGGCTTACTCACTGCAGGAAGGATTTTCGTTTAGGGTGATCAGTAGTAGTCTTCTACATCTTCTGTAAAGGACTGAGCTGCTGCACCCATCAGCTTAATAAGAGTTTTGGAAAAAGAGTTTGGGGAAAAAGTAGACCTAAGAGGGCTTTCTGTTTCTTTCCTGGGAATATGTCCCCAAAATTTCCCCTTCATAGGATTGAAGAGCCATTTATTTTATATAACTGGCAATTGATTCATTCCTAAAGAACAGGATCAGGACTGAAAATGAGCTAGTAATCAGTCTCCTAACAGGGTCACATGTTCCTGGAAGAAGAGACTGGAGATGGACAGGGGACTCAGGACGTGAAGGCAGGTGCGCTCTGTGTGTTCCTCCTGGTGCCGACAAACTTGCCCCAGAAGAGATGTGGGAAGCAGGGCAGGTGTAAAAAGTTATAATTTAAAAATTCTGTGGGGGAAGCATATGGGGAGAATGGACATTGAGGGAGATGGGTCAGATGTCCCACTTCTTCTTCCAGAGTCCTGGACACCTCCATCGAATAAAAGCTCTCTGCTGCCAAAGGAGTCCCATATTGAGGTATCCTTTCACAGAAGAGCATGTGCTTATGCCAGTATGAATTCCTTCCGAGTAGTTTCCCCTTTCTCCTGGACGGCACCGTTGGAGAATGAGACATGTTCAAGCGTACAGAAAACAGTTCAGAACAACATCCGTGACTGGCGAGTTCGCCTGTTTATCATGCGCACTTTGAAATGGGTCAGACTGAAGTACCTCCTTCGCCCTCCCAGCTGCCCACCCTGCCCCCACCTTCCACCCACCGCTGACAGACGTTCAAGTGAGTATGACTGTGTTCAGTTTTGCATTTCTCCTAACACGGCAAGAGGAAACAAGCTTAAGGAACATAAAGACCTTTCTTGCTAGATGTCCCTGGAGCTTGGTCTGAAGGCAGCTCGCTCCAGGGATTCATTTGCAGGATTTCTGTCATAAGGCACTGTGGGGAAAGCTGTTACATCCAGAAAACATGGCCCAGAGGTTTTCTGCCCCAACCCTCAGACCCCCGTTTTTAGTGCTGAGTCTTTCTCTCACATCTTGGCTTCCCCTCCCGGAGCTCTCTCTCCCCTTTGAGTGCCAGCCTGCATTGCGTCTTGTGAGTAAGCAGTTCCCTGGCAGGCGTGGTATGTCCTTCCTGGGTGGGGACCCTGTGTACATGCACTGTAGCAAGAAGGGTGATGCCTAGAGACCCACCCACTTACCTCCTCACTCCCCTTTACCATCTCCTCCTCTCCCAGGGCCAGCTGTGTCCAACTTCCAGGTGCAAGAAGCCTTGGGCCCAGCCAGAGGTCACCTGATGCCAGTTAGCACCCAGTTCTCCACCCTCAGTGTATTTGCCCCTCCCCCACACTGCACAAAGGAAAAGGCACACACACACATGTTATTAAAATGAACTGTTTATATTATCTCAGTTGAGTCAATACATTATAATGTATTAAAATGGAAAGGTACAAAATTGAAATAAATACTTTCTGATTCATGTATAAATCTTTTTTTGTTTTTTGTCAAGATGACTTTTATCGTCAGCACATGTCACAAGAAAACATTTAAAATGACACCGAAACAATCATTGAAATCATGGTGCATGGAGGAAAAAGGTAAAGAAAACAACCGTTGGCTTGTTTTGGCATGAGACCTTGATACAATTTGGGTTCCCCAAAACCATGTGAAGGGTGGTAAAATAGAAATGCTCAAAACTGACCTAAAAAAATAAACAGGCTTTACAAAAACCCTCTTTTTCTTAACCCAGCCGCTTCTCTACATGGTCTGCACTTACAATAGATACATTCATTATTGTCCAAGGGAAGATAGCAACTGCCTTTCGCTTAAAGAGCTTGGTGGAGAGGCTGAAGGATATGCTGCAGCTGAAGGTGAGTAGAATGTTCCAGAGAACAAAAAAGTCTAGATGGTCTTCAGGAACAGCACTGAGCATGATGGGGGTGGAGGGTCTCTGGGCGAGAGGTGAGGTGGAGGAGAGGGCGGAGTCCAGATCTGAAGCAGTGGAGACGGAAGGATGGAGTCGGGTTGTTTGTGGTCACAATGGGCCCGAGGGTCTCACCACCTGAGCAGCCCTGGGTTTTTCCTCAGCCTGGGAACACTGCTCTGTCAACAAGAGGCAAACTGTGGGCTTTGGAGACGGGGCTTGGACCCTTTTCTTGCACAGCCCTGGGGAGACGGCCAGGCTCCCACTGGGTGCTGCCAGAGGGGCTTCTGGTTCTGACTGCTTTTTAGGTGGTCATTAAGGCAGTAAGGACACTAGCAAACTAGAAGTTAAGGGCAGCTAGGTTCAGCCAGATGGAAGGTAAACAACAGGGGAGAAGGGGTTCCTTTGTCCTCGGCTCCCCTCCCCAAGCACAGGAGGCCTCAGCTCCTGAAGCGCTGAGATTACAGTACACAGTAGCAGGGGCTTGCCCTTTGGAAGGCTCCATGGAAAGAAGGCTCATCCCTGACTCGGGGCAACTTAATCCAAGTTTCCTCTCTCCAGAATCTCTTCCCTGCGGTCACCCTCAGCTGGCTGGACTGGAAGATGGAAGCACCAGGGGTCATGCAGAAATTAGGTCAAGACCTTTGCTAGAGATCCTGGGGCCCGTCCCTGTGGCCTTCAACTCCTTTGTCCAGAGAGCCAGGCTGGATGCTTGCCTGGCCCATGCTCAGCCGGAGAAGAGGACAAGCCTTTCAGGATTCAGGAATCCTCCCCCCAGCAGATGAAAGGACAGCTAGGGACCAGGGGAAGCAAGGCCTGGGCGGTCTCTAGGAAGGGAAAGGAGCGCCTTTGGTCTGAATCACTCACAGGGAAATGGGCAAAAGACAGCCCAGGACCGACAGAAGAACTAGGCCCTTCCTCGTGCTCTGCAGTGAAGACAATGGACGGTTACTTTGGAATGCTGTGGGAAGGGGAGTTCTGAGAGCTGTCTGTTGTTCTGAGCTAACTTTTGGCAAGAGGCTGGATGATTTAACTGCAATTGAAGAACTGTTTCTTGGGCCATTGCTGCCAAAGTGTACAATGACCTACTCCTACAAGTGACTTTGTAGACTTTGGTAAGCCAGATGGAAACCCCCTCCATCCTCCAGCATGAGACAGCAGGCTAGAAAGGATCTCTCCATGAGACACCCAGGGCTGTGGATGCATCAGCATGGAGACATTTCACTGTAACTACTCAGGACCACCTTAGGGGACACTCACAGGGACGAGGTGTATGCAAGGAAAAATGTCAGTAGAGATGGCGAGCCTGTCTGGGGACCAGCTCCCTGCCTGGCCTTTCTCTGGTGGAAGTGATCTAATTTTGGTCCTAAGAAAAATGGGCAACATTTTAACTAAGATTCTAAGAGCTATAATAATAAATCAGTAATAAAAATCAAGCTATGGGAATGTGACAAAACCAGATTGGCCATGAGTTAGTGGTCACTGTTAGAGTCAATTGATAGATCCATAGGACTTCCTTGTATAATTCTACTCTACTATGTGTTTAAATATATGTTCTAAGTTATCTACAATACTAAACAAGCCCTCTTAGAGAGTATTAAGCTTAATCCTAGATAGGGTCCAGAGTCACCCAGGGAGTCACTGTAGAGATGGTATTAGGAACCAGTTGTCTTTCTGCAGGGATCAAGATCTTGTGGTTGGACTTACATTCTTAAATCAGTGTCATGACTTCTTCAGCTCTGCTCTTACCATACTGAAAAGCAGGCAGTGATCTTTACCCCTCCTCCAGTGAGTCTCAGCAACACTTAACAATGGCAAATACACTTGATTGCTTGGCTGGGTTTACAGACACGTCTGGGGAGCCAGCAGAGCTCAGGAGCCAGTGGCCTTGGGTTTGTATATTTGTGTAGGCAGCAAGGTTTTGTGTTCATCTGTCCTGTCATTTGTACATAAGTTGAAGAATATGAGGGACACAGCACAGCCTTGCATCCAAGAGCGCTCATTCTGCTTAGGGGGAGTGGCACTCAAACTTCCTGACAGGTTCCCTGAGACTCCTGACCAATGTCAGCGCATTCCCACAGTGCCCTCTGAATTTTAGCATGGAAGAGCCAACAGGAAAGGAACCCTGTCCCTTTCAGTTAACCTTGACTCTAAAGAAAGTAGGAAGTGCAATCAAACCTCATGAAAATCTCAGCATGTTTTGAAAGATGTCCACCAGCATCAGGCAGAAACGTGATCAGTGCTCAGTCACATAAGTCACCAGGAGTGAATGCTCAAAAGAAGGTTCTTGTGAAGTGTTTGAGCTCTGGTCTCTTAACCTTGTAGAGGGAGAAAGGCAATGACATCCAAGCACTGGTCTCCACTGGTGGCCCTCAGATGGACCGTTTGCTGCAGAGCCAGTAAGTCCAAGGACCTCAGAGGACTGGCTTAACCCCAGCTTGAAGAGGGAAAGACCCATTTGCTGGGAGGTGCACTGTTCTGCCAGAAGCCCTGTGTCTGAGAAACACAGATCCTGGAAATGTCTACCTAGCTGCTTCTAATCCCAACTGTACATGTTGGTTCCTAGCACTGGGGGGGAGGGGAGGGGCAATCTATCAGAGTTCAGGATGGGAAAATATAGAACTGCAAACTTCTGACAGTACACAGGGGGAAAGCAAGCACATGGATTCTGCCTCAGCTAGAGAAAAGATCAGATGCAGGGGCAGGGACTCGACTACATGGACTGGAGACATTGCCTACCAACTAGGCGCCACCTAGCTGAAGAAGCGACTGTGCATCCCTGGTCATCGTGTGTCTTTGGACAGGTCTCTACCCTGAGCAGGTTCTGATATTCAAGGGGAGGACAGGGGCTACTCTGAGCACACAGCACACAGCAGCTCCATCCCTTGGTCCTTAACATCGCCTTTACTCAAAGCACTCTGAAGATTGAAGAAATGTAGCTGCCTGTCTCCAGACACTGCCCTCCCTAATCTTATACACGATGAAACTGAGACACAAAGAAACCACTAATTTTTATGCAGTCCTTGTATGGATCTGGTGACACTCCTGGCAGAAAAGTCCGGGATCCCGCTTCCTGAATCCTTGAACATCTTCTATTACCTTTCTCTTGAATTCACATTTAAAGTCTGTCTGCCTGCCTATAACACATTAAGTGTACTAATACGTATAAAATATAAATAATTTGTAGATTCCTGCTTACCTTCCTGTCTTTTTCTTCTCCTTTATGTAACTAGGATTGGGGGGGGCACCAACAACAACAAAGGGATGTTCCATGACAAGGGAAAAGCCCCAGTACTGCTCAGGGACTAGACCTCGGGAAGGAGAGGTGACAGCCCTGTCCGTGGGGCGGAGGTGCTTCAGATCTGGACTGTACAGCAATCAGATGAGACAGTTCAACAGAAATCAGCAATGGAGACGCCTGTGCCAGATGGAGCGAACGTACACAACCTGGTTTTAAGGAACAGTAAATACAATAGAGATAGAGAGATACACGCTATGTTGAATCTTGAGTACTGAAACAAGTCATAAATAGAGTTATGCTAAATCAAAGAAGACAGACGTTATTGGGAAGAGTCTGGTCAACAACCAATCACCATTAGAATTAAAAAGTAAACCGGCCTTTTCACTGAGTACCTCCACGACATTTCTCAATGCACTAAGTACATTTTAACCATGCAAAAATACACAAACATCTTAACTAGGTTGTTTTTTTTTTGTTAAAAAAAATCAAACACCAACATTATGCATTTTTTTTTGTTAATTATATTGGTTAAAGTAACAGCCACTGGCTGCCAAATATCAGATACATCATATACATATTTTTATACAGAATCTGGACAACACAACATTACACATCAAAGAGAGAAAGAGAGAAAAAGAGAAAGAGATTATTTGTTCCTTTGTGGGTTTGTTGTTGTTGTTGTTGTTCAGTAAAAAAATAAAGTAAAATATGAGGAGCAATGCTAAGAAGGAAAACACTTCAACAGTTAGGAGTACATAGGGAGAACTGCTAATCAGAAATACAGGAGGAAAAGAGTTCATATTTCGGTCTGTTTCTAGAATTTTCTTCACTAAGAAACCAAGGAGCACAACAGGTGTATTGGTTTGGAAAAGCAGAAAGAGCAATAACATCATGCTGTCAGTTTCCCAGCACGTTTCCGCAAAAAGAAAAAATCATAATCACAAATTAATTTCACAAGTTTGTTTTCACAAATGTCCTCCCTTACCTAGGAAGCTGGACAATGCAGGGGCGGGGGACAGCTCAGTTGAGAGAGTCCTTGGCAAAGGTTTGGCCAAACCGTTGGCCTTAAATTAGTTGGAGATGTGATCTGTCACGCAATGGAATGCGAGGTCACCTTGCTCCCTCTAGGCAAGAGTTCCCGTTGCCAGCCAGCGACCTGGCCGGGAAACACCCCCATGACAAGTCCTGCTAGCAGGGCCCAGTCCTGCCCCTTAAACTTCTGGTGTCAACACAATCTTAAAAGTTCAACCTGGAAAGAAAACAAGACCTTGAACACAAGCTATGGAAGCAC